CTCGTCTCTCTCTCTCTCTCTCTCTCTCTCTCTCTCTCTCTCTCTCTCTCTCTCTCTCTCTCTCTCTCTCTCTCTCTCTCTCTCTCTCTCTCTCTCTCTCTGCTCCCCTTCGCTTCTCCTTCCAAAATCTGGTTTTCGTTTACGCGCAGACAAAATCTTTCCAACAGATTAATCCGCTTCCGTTTTCCCACGCGATATTCCTTCATATTCCACGTGTGTACTTTACCGCAATTCGGATGAAAGAAAATCGTAAATTGGGGCGGAAATGTAGTCGAGTCGAGTGAAAATCCTGTTTTTCCTTTTTTTTACTAACAAAATCCGGGGCGCGGCAAGATTGCTTTTTAGGCACGAAGTGGTCAGTGGTTGGGTGGTTTTGTTTCCAGTACCAAGTATAGTGGTGCATAAAGGCAGCAGGTCGCACAGCCGACCTGAGAGTCCCACGGTGGTGGTGCGAGGAGGTATGCCCACGTTGCCGCCCTCCAGGCAAGGCTTCGCCGCGAGTGGCTCGAACGCTTTGTATCGGAACAGCACGGATATGTTAGACGGGAATGCCAATCCGAGTGTCGCCTCCTCTCCCACTTCGAACTCGCACCATCGTGGCACACCCTCCTGCCCTCCCGCCGACAAATCGGACACGGAGAACAAAAACTTTCGCAACAGGGTACGTGAGAAAAAAAAGCATTCCGAGAGAAAAGAAAGAAAGAAAGAAAGAAAGCAAGCGAATTTTTCTTTCGATATGGTTTTTCTTCGCGCTCGCTTCGATTTTCGAAAAACGTGAAATTAATAATTTTTAGACGAGCACGAAAGTGAAGTTGCTGGTGAGGAGTCATGCTATGAGAGAGTCCACGTCTCCCCCTAGGGAGGCGCACAACAACAACAACAACAACAACAACAACAACAACGGTTCGTCATCGTCCCCGCACAGCCCGCAATCGGTCGACGGCGAGAAGAAGTTCGTCTCAGGGAACCTGTCTCCCGCTAACGCGAAGCTGAATAACAACGAGCCGATGTTCAACAGCAATCTTTGCCCGAATCAGTCCCCGAAGCAAATGCGTAACACGGCCACCTCGCCCACCTACCGAACTCCGTCACGAAATGGTAAACACGCTTGCCCTTCCCCTTTCAACACGTTCGTCGGCCAGCGTGATTTCGTTGAGTTCCTCGCGAATGTTACTGTTACTGGAAGTACTGGCCGTGAGAACGTAAACAGAGCGATAAACGGAATAGTTTTAATATAAAATTAGTCGGGATATATATATATATATATATATATTAATTCTTAGTCTTCATTAACCAATTCTGACCGAAAATACCGATTTTGAATTAATTGTTTTCAATGCCTATATTCCTATATTTCTTCGCTCCTTACTTCGTTCGTTTCCAAAGTGAATTTTAAATATTTTGATGAATATAAGCCTCCAATTGGCAATTTAAACTCAGTTCTATATTATCGGTGGTAATAACAGCCTTCTATATTACCATATACTTTAGTATAATTTTTAGATTTAAAATTGTATAAAAATGCAGAATGATTCGCTCAACAAATCATATTTGTCCCTCTTTTCCGTTTCTATTATTCTTAAATTTTAAATTCTGTGATTCCAAAGTATATTTTATATTTATATTTCACTGCTTATTCCATTCAATTTCTTTTAAAATTCCGCTTTAAACTCTTTCCATTCATATGTCGCCATATAATCGCTATCCTATATTTACTAATGTAAATATATGTATAATATAATTATATATATATATATATATATATATATATATATATATA